GAATGAGACACCCAGGTGCCCCAAATCCATATCTTTCAATAGTCACTCTGTATGTAAATGGATTAAATGCCCCAATCAAAAGACACAGGGTATCAGAATGGACAAAAAAACATGATCCATCTATATGCTGCCTACAAGAAACTCATTTTTGACCTGAGATCACCTTGCAGTTTGAAAGTAAAGGAATGGAAAACCATCTATCATGCTGCCAGACAGCAAAAGAAAGTCAGAGTAGTCATACTTATATCAGACAAACTGGATTTTACAAACTGGACTTTGTAGTTACAAACTGTAACAAGAGATGAAGAAGGCCATTATATCATAATTAAGGGGTCTATCCATCAAGAAGATCTAACAGTTGCAAATGTTTATGCCCCCAATGTGAAAGAACCCAAATATACAAATCAATCACAAACATAAATAAATGTATAGATAATAATACCATGATAGTAGGGGACTTTAATACTCCACTTACAACAATGGACAGATCATATAGGCAGAAAATTAATAAGGAAACCATGACTCTGAATGATAAATTGGACCAGATGGACTTATCAGATACATTCAGAACTTTTCGTCCAAAAGCAGCAGAACACACATTCTTCTCATGGACCATTCTCCAAAATAGATCACATACTGGGTCACAAAACATCTCTCAACAAATATAAAAGGGTTGAGATCATATCATGCATGTTTTCAGGTCTCAATGCTATGAAAATTGAAATTAACCACAAGAAAAAAAATGGAAAGCCCCCAAATACACGGAGGTTAAAGAACATCATACTAAATAATGAATGGTTCAACCAGGAAATCAAAAAATAAATTGAAAAATATATGGAAGCAAATGAAAATGAAACCATGACAAGTCCAAACCCTTTGGGATGCAGTGAAGGAAGTCCTAAGAGGAAAATACATTGCAATTCAGGCCTAACTCAAGAAGCAAGAAAGTTTCCCAAATACAGAAACTAACCTCACACCTAAAGGAACTAGAAAGGCAGCAGCAAAGAAAACCCAAGGCCAGCAGCAGAAGAGAAATAATAAAGACCAGAGAAGAAATAAACAATATAGAATCCAAAGAAACAGTAGAACAGATCAATGAATCTAAGAGCTGGTTTTTTGAAAGAATAAACAAAATTGACAAACCTCTAACAAGACTTCTCAAAAAGAAAAGAGAGAGGACCCAAATAGATGAAATAATGAATGAAAGAGGAAAGATCACAACCAATACCACAGAAATACAATTATTAGAGGATACTATGAAAAATTATATGCCAACAAACTGGACAACATGGAAGAAATTGACAAATTCCTAGACACTCACACTCTACCAAAACTCAAATGGAAAGAAACAGAAAGTTTGAACAGACCCATAAGCAGTGAAGAAATTGAATCACTTAACAAAAATCTCCCAAAAAATAAGAGTCCTGGGCCAAATGGCTTCCCAGGGAAATTCTACCAGACATTTAAAGCAGAGTTATTACCTATTCTTCTCAAGCTGTTCAAAAAATAGAAATGGAAGGAAAGCTTCTAGACTCATTCTATGAAGCCAGCATTACCTTGATTCCAAACCCAGACAAAGGCCCAACTAAAAAGAAGAACTACAGGCCAATATCCCTGATGAACATGGATGCAAAAAGTCTCAGCAAGATGCTAGCAAATCAAATTCAACAGTATATTAAAAGAATTATTCACCAGGATCAAGTGGGATTCATTCCTGGGCTGTAGGGCTGGTCCAATATTTGCAAATCAATCAACATGATACATTAATGGAAGAAAGGATAAGAACCATATGATCCTGTCAATAGATGCAGAAAAAGCATTTGACAAAAATACAGCATCCTTTCTTTTAAACCCTCAAGAAAGTGAGGATAGAAGGAACATACCTTAACATCATAAAAGCCATATATGAAAGGCCCAGAGCTAATATCCTCCTCAATGGGGAAAAACTGAGAGCTTTCCCCCTGAGCTCAGGAACATGACAGGGATGTCCATTCTCACCACTGTTGTTCAACATAGTACTCGAAGTCCTAGCCTCAGCAATCAGACAACAAAAAGAATAAAAGGCATCCAAATTGGCAAGGAAGAAGTCAAACTTTCATTCTTTACATTTGACATGATACTCTACATGGAAAACCTGGAATATTCCACCAAAAAAATGACTACAGCTGATACATGAATTCAGCAAAGTTGTAGGATATAAAACCAATGTACATAAATCAACTTCATTTCTACACACCAATAATGAAGCAACAGAAAGAGATATCAAGGAATAGATACCATTTACAATTGTACCAAGAACCATAAATACCTAGGAATAAACCTAATCCAACAGGTCAAAGATCCATTCACTGAAAACTATATAAAGCTTATGAAAGAAATTGAAGACACAAAGAAATGGAAAAACATTCCATGCTCATGGATTGGAAGAACAAATATTATTAAAATATCAATAATACCCAAAGCAATCCACACATTCAATGCAATCCCAACCAAAATGGTACCAGCATTCTTCACAAAATTCTAAAATTTGTATGAACCACAAAAGACCCCAAATAGCCAAAGTAATGTTGAAAAAGGAAACCAAAGCTGGAGGCATCACAATCTCGAACTTTAGCCTGTATTACAAAGCTGTAACCATCAAGACAATATGGTATTGGTACAAAACAGACACATAGACCCATGGAATAAAACAGAGAACCCAGAAATGGACCCACAAATATATGGCCAACTAATCTTTGACAAAGTAGGAAAGAATATCCAGTGGAAAAAAGACAGTCTCTTTAGCAAATGGTGCTGGGAGAAATGGACAGCAACATGCAGAAGAATGAAACTGGACCACTTTCTTACACTATACACAAAAATAAATTCAAAACGGATGAAACACCTATATGGAAACAGGAAACCATCAAAATCCTAGGCGAGAACACAGGCAACAACCTCTTTGACCTCAGCCACAACAACTTCTTACTTGACATGTCTGCAAAGGCAAGGGAAATAAAAGCAAACATGAACTTTTGGGATCTCATCAAGATAAAAAGTTTCTGCACAGTAAAGGAATCAATATAACTAAAAGGCAACTGACAGAATGGGAGAAGATATTTGCAAATGACATATTGGAGAAAGGGTTAGTATCCAAAATCTATAAAGACCTTATCAAACTCAACACCCAAAAAACAAATCATCCAGGGAAGAAATGGGCAGAAGACATGAACAGACACTTCTCCAAAGAAGACATCCAGATGGCTAACAGGCACATGAAAAGATGTTCAAAGTCACTCATCATCAGGGAAATACAAATCAAAACCACATTGAGATACCAGCTCATACCTGTCAGAATGGCTAAAATTAACAACTCAGGAAATAACAGATGTTGGCAAGGTTGTGGGGAAAGGGGAAACCTCTCGCACTGTTTGTGGAATGCAAACTGGTGCAGCCACTCTGAAAACAGTGTGGAGGTTCCTCAAAAAGATAGAGATAGAACTACCCTACAGCAATTTCACTAGTAGGTATTTATCCAAAGGATACAAAAATGCTGATTTGAAGGGGCACATGCACCCCAATGTTGACAGCAGCATTATCAACAATAGCCAAACTATGGAATGAGCCAAAATGTCCATTCACTGATGAATGGGTAAAGAAGATGTGGTAAACACACACACACACACACACACACACACACACACACACACACACACACGCACGCACTGGAGTATTACTTGCTGATTAAAATAATGAAATCTTGCCATTTGCAACAATGTGGATGGAACTAGAGTGCATTATGCTAAGCAAAACAAGTCAGTTGGAGAAAGACAATATCATATGATTTCATGGAATTTAGGAAACAAAAAAGAACATAGAGGAAGGGAAGGAAAAATAAAATCAGATAAAAACAGAGAGGGGGGCAAACCATAAGAGACTTAAATATAGAGAACAAACCATGGGTTGCTAAAGGTGAGGTGGGTGCAGAGAATGGGCTAAATGGGTGATGGGATTTAAGTAGGACACTTGTGCTGAACATGTCTGCATTGGGTGTTATATATGTAAGTGATAAATCACTAAATTCTACTCTGGAAACCAATACTACACTATATGTTAACTAACTCGAATTAAAAAGAAAAAAAAAAAGACTTCCTTTTTTTCCCCAAGGTTCATGAACAAAAGTGTAACGATGGAGACACATTAAGGAAGCCATAGTGCTCCACTGTTGTGTTGAGGGAAGGTTATCCCCTTCTAGAATGCAGCAAGATACAAGCAGTTTGTCTCTAATTCAATAGTCTGCTTGGCCAGACCCAGGATGGGCTGAACTTAAAGATGCTACTTCAAGCATTAACAAGCAAAAATTGTTATAGGACAGCATTTTTTAAAGTTCTTAGAAAATAATTATGCAGACTTTTAAAATGTTCTTCTTAAAATGTTCTTCTAAAAATTTCACAGTATTCTATATCTCATAAGCATTATATATTTGGGTTTAATAGTAACTATGTCGAAATATCTACTTTCTTTAATGCTGAAAGACTCTATTCCAACTTTACATACCATCTCCTACAGTGGTGTTTTCCAAATTTATCCAATCATAATTTCATCTAGGTCCTTATGAAAATACAAATCCCCATACTCCATCCCCTGGAGGTTCTTAATTTGGGAGCCAGAATGAAGAAGCTAGTGAATTGCTATTTTTAACAAATGCCCTCATTGAATCTGATCACTCATCATATAAGAGCTATTTCTAAAGGACAACCCAAAGTAAATGATTTGAAATCCTTTTCTAAAAATATGTGGAAAATGTTGGAGGCCTGAAGATGACATTTCACTACTGATGTCAAACTTATCTCAGTTTGTCACCAAAATGAATAGGAGTTTAGGAAACATGCAGAAAGAGCTCTATACTGAACTAAGGCCGCAGAAACTATAAAAGACCTTTCTACTTTCTCAACTATCTGACCTTCCCTTTCCCCCTCCCTCACTCCCTGTCTTCCTTTCCTCCTTCCTTCAACACTTACCTGAGTTCTTCTCTGACTTCCACTGCCGTGTTCCCTGATATAATGAACACATCATTCATATCATCAGTCAGCATGTTGCAGGCATAGCCAATGTTGATGGCAGTTTCTAATACAAAATAATGTTCAGTTAGAATATTAATTAATAACATAAGTACTTTTCCATAACAGTTTTGCGGCATTGCCCTTAATGTCAGAGACACCACAATGAGTAATAAAACACAAGAAACCCAGAGCTAAATTCAAAGACCCAGGTTCCATGACCAAATTCACCACTTGCTAAATCCATGGAGAAGTAGCAACATCTATAAATTCTCAGCCTTCTCATCTAGTTTTTGAAAAAACTTCTTGATTCCCAAAATTAGTACTTAAGAAAATACCCTAAGATCCTGTGATACAGTGAAATATTTTTTCCCTAAAGTCCCAAATACTGCCTCTGAAAGAGCTGACATACTTAATTTAGCAATTATTCAATCTGATGGGGTAGACACATTGAAAAAAACTCACAAAATGTTCATTTGAACAGCAAAAATGCTCTTATGATAGCTTTATAGTTCTCCCACACGCAATATTGCCATTTCCCCATTAAGTAAATAAAACTTTGGAATGTGAGATCACCTCAAAGACCACCCAGGAATGCTGCTACTAGGTAAATGGAGAACTACATAATGTTGAGCAGTCCTTCCTCTCCTTCCGCAGAACTGGACCCTAGGATAATTAGGTAACCCTTCCATCTTCGATAGGGTCATTTGTTTCTAATTCTATTGAGTCATTAGGCTCTAGTTCTTTTCTTTTTTTTTATGTTTATTTATTTTTGAGACAGACAGAGACAGAGTACAAGTGGGGAAGGGGCAGAGAGAGGGAGACACAGAACCAGAAGCAGGGTCCAGGCTCTGAGCTGTCGGCACAGAGCCCAATGCAGGGCACGAACTCACAAGCAGTGAGATCATGACCTGAACCAAAGTCAGATGCTTAACTGACTGAGCCACCCAGGCACCCCAGCTCTAGTTAATTCTGTAGAACAATTAGATTTTTCTTAAGCCTCAAGGCAATTGATAAAATCTTAGCATATTCTTTGTATAAGCCATAGAAATGAAAGCTCAATGAGAGTAAACCTGTGGATATTCATAAGTAAGTGAATAGTTATGGATGTACCTACTGATCAACACCAAACTCTAAGAAGTCTCTATTAACACACCACAGAGCTCAACTCTCTAATGTTTATTTTTTATAATCAATGATTTGGGTGAACATATAGAGAACTGATTTATCCTATCTACAAATCCTCCAATGTCCTAAAAAATATGTAACAAGTAGAGAAAATCTTGAAAACATATGTGTGCCAAGTAACTAAATATTTCTGATTTACAGATGACCAAGCATAAAATGACTTTTGTTTTAACCATTACTGCTAGCAATAGATTTAAAACGTATTGATCCCTTTTCATTCTTAGGAAACAGAGTACTCTGAACATAATGACTCTTTCTCTGCTGACTTGGTGTTTTGTCATGTCTGAAAGTGGGTCAGCTCTCATTGTACCACTACGTGGGCAGTCCTGGAATTTAGCCAGCTTACACTGGTACACCTGTGTTGATTGTTAAAATGTCAAAATATTTCCACACGAGTTGACAAACAGCTGCTTCCCCGAGTCTCCCCAAACCTCCCAAACATCAAGAAACTAACCAAGTAGCCCTGAGGTATCCAATGTGCTGCTCCAGTGCTGTGCCACTCTCTGTCCTAACTGGGGGAAGAAGTACCCATGTGAAACAATAGCTAAACATTATTTAATGCCATTGTTGCCTACAGGTGAAAGTATTATATTTAAGAAGCAATTGCACTGAAACTCAAATGACCCCAGGGTCTACTACAGAAGATAATTTGTTAGTTTGTTTTCTTTTGTTTTTAAATAATAAATTTTTGTAATGTATTAGCTTTCCTTTTTGTATTTCTACTCCTTACTATTTGAAGGACTGGGAAAATATCTAATTCATTAGGCTTTCTGGTTTAAATTTTACCATAGAAATTATTGCCCTCCTCCACCCTCCCTTCCACCGTCCAGGGCACCTGGATGGCTCAGTTGGTTAAGCATCCGACTTTGGCTCAAGTCATGATCTCCCGGTTCATGAGATCTGGGCTCTCTGCTGTCAGCTCAGATATCACTTTGGATCCTCTCTCTCTCTCTCTCTCTCTCTCTCTCTCTTTCTCTCTGTCCCTCCCCTGTTCACTCACACTCTCATTCTGTCTCAAAAATAAATAAACATTGAAAAAAAGAAATTAATCCCCCCTCTTTTCAAGACATCATCATCATCATCATCCATTTTCAAATTACCTTGTTTGTCTCCTGTTAGGACCCAGATCTTAATATTGGCTAGCGATAAATTTGTAACTGTTTCAATAACACCCTCTTGTAACTTATCTTCTACAGCAGTAGCACCTAGTAGCTTTATTAAAAATAGAGAATACCATATGTTAATGCAGGCAAACAACATCCACAATATGTATGGCTTTTAATCACAGAGTTTAGAGGTCAGGGAACATGAACTGAAAATGGAAGTTATGATGCACTGACACAGTAAGCATCTTATTATGTGCAGAGATGGGTTGGGAAGGACCTCAAAAGGAGGCACACCAATTAATGGCAGGGATCCTGGAAGTTAGAATTCACATGAGAGATCTGATCTGCTCAGATAACATATTAGCGTAAACCATCAGAAGCCATTTGGGCTTCTAAGAACTGAAGAACTCCCCAGATGCTTCCCCACTTATGTCAACATGGGAAGGCCCAAAGGAGAGCCCTAATCTCATAGTAAGGATCACCAAAAAGTAGAGTCATTGTCCTAAATTAACAAACCAACAGATGCCATAAACTAAAAAGTGAAGATTCTTGTAGAATATTTTACCCAGAGATGAACATAACATGCTCCTTAGTAACTCATGATAGATGAGCATAATGGCCAACTGGGGCCTCAGGGAGGAGCAGTTTCTAAAGCTCATACTCTGGGAAGCACAGATATCATCAGAACCTCATGGCCTAGGATGGTTTAGAGCTATAGCCACTCTTCATGGCAAGTTTTCCTGCTCTAAAAAGGTAGATCATAAAGCAGGGAGAAAAAAACCCCAACATATTATCAAGTACATACCAGAGGCTGACAAAGAATAAAGATTCTACTATCTTCTACTTTGAGGGGACAATTGTATAACCTACTGCTAATAGAATTAATCCTCTAAGCTATCTAGGGCCATACATGGAAAACTTGAAGCCAATATATATAGTATGACTCAGTGTTTGAAAGGGGGACATCAGCTGTGTGCAAGATGATTTAGCAATGAATTACTCCCATGCTAGATCTCTAAACATATACTATCCCTTCTGTAAACACAAACCATCATGCTTCTAAATGCATACCATCAAATCCCTTTCAATTTCTTCATATAGCCCAGCTACCCGTTCATCTCTCTCATCTATAAGAGCATTTGCATCTTCAAGCATCTTATGCCATTCTTTAAAGTACTTGTCATCCAGATCTCTGTATGCGATGGCCAAAGTTCGAAGACCTTCCCCTGCAAATTCCTGCCGGAGCAGAAACAAATTTAGGAACCATCACAGAATAATAATCATGGCAATAACAACAAGAACAACAACAATAATGGGTAAGAAGTTTTTCACTTAAATTAATTTTGTCCCAAGAGTATTATTTGGCCACGCTGACCTCCAACTTTTTAATCTCCTTGGAAATGGGATAGAATGTTAGTATTTTATATTTTATTTCTATGTGGTTAAAACACTCAGGGGAACTAGCCTTCTCCCTAAAGACAGCTTAAATACCTGTTTAAGTGTCCTAGCTGAGAAGTGATCAACCACACCCATTACTTGAGATATCCATTTGAAGCAACATATATTGGTTCCAACCTATCCCCTACATGAAGAAGCACTCTTGGCAATAAGAGACCTAGCCTGTTCATGGCTCATGGCACTCGACTTCTGGTGGAGAGGAAAGGCTTCTCAGAGGAACCATAGGTCTCAAATCAAAAGTAGGAGCTCTCTCAAAATATGGCAGCATGTCATCTCAATACTCTTGTCATGTTCCCCTTAACAATACAGCTGTGTCTAAAATTAACTGAGTTCTACTTCTGTTTATGCTTGAAGTCTTCCATAAGAAAAAGTACAGATGAATAAATAAATGCTGGTCAGGCAACAGAAGTCAAAGCTTATTAGGCTGTAATAATAACCTCTAGGGGAAAATGGGAGAGTAAGACCAAAAGTTAATACAAATGTTTACTTCTGGGAAGTAGGACTAGAAGTGGAGGCTAACTTTTACTCATCATTCCAGATCGTCTATAAATTTTCTCATTTTCTGCTATATGAAAGTTTTATTTTATTAATGAAAATTCTTAGAAATTGTAAAAACACCCAAGTCATGTTATTTTTAAAAATCATTATTTTTGAGACGCTTATTTCTGTGGAGTTAGTGTGTAATAATTGGTCAATTAATTGAAGAACCATACTTTTCGTTTAGTGTCTCAGTAAACTGATAATCTCAAGTGATACCTCTGATGTTTTATCCTTCTAATAGGAAAAATAAATAAATAAAAACAGGAGACTGGTAGTTGCTTACGTGTCTCACATAGTCACAATAGCTAGAAACATATGTAGATTGCTTTGTGGAAATGCTGGAAACCTCCCACTTTGTCTAGGCCTCCCAGTGGTCATTTTATGGGCCTCCACACTGCAAGTGTTTTTATAGCATTTCTGCTCCTTTGGACAGTGCCACCGAGCATATCTTCTCTGCTGTGTTCTGGCTTATAGAAAAGACGTAGGTCTGTGATCAGGCACAAGTTAAGCCATGACACACCCTAATTAGGTAAATGAAAAGAAAATTCAGTGCATATGACAATGATGTGGTTTTGCCCACAGAGACCATGAGAAAAAAATTATCCAAATTTATCTTGTAGGCAATTGGTAGTACTCTGGACATTGCAGTCACATTTTGCAAGACCACCACTGGGTCCCCTACTGATCTGAAAATCTAGTTACTTCCTCGTAACAATCTTTTGTCCTCTTAATTCACAGAAATGCTTCTTTGCCTTTAACTAGCAACCGCACTGAGCTCTCCTCTCTGTTCTGCACAACAGTGAATTAACTCTAAGACGGCATTACAAAAGGGGACAGATGATTTAAGTTATTTAATTAGTGCATGAATCACAAGTTTAATCCTAAATGAGCATTTGAGCAAGGTCGTTTCCTACCATTAAACAATTCAAAATCAATTATTAAATATAAACTGAAAACCTCAGAATTTAAAGCCAAAACAAATAAAGTAAATGAAGCAAAGAGCAAGTCAAATCGATGCTACCTGGAAAAAAACTCTTGTGCATCGAAATGTAAAAAGACCAAATTAGGCTTCCTATACTTCAGTATGAAAGGAGAATGTATGAAATCCAAGGCCTGTGGTGTTTGAGCAATGGCAAAAATCAGATACTTATGATTCCAATGTTGTTTTCAGAAAAAAAAAAATTAAAAAGACCATGTCGGCCTTCTGGAAGAGATTAAAAGAAAATCAAGAATGCTCTATTCGAAAGACAAAAACAATAGTTATGTTTGTAACCAATATTACTAAACCATCATTCTTTAAACTTAAAGTCAGGCAAAGTAATTTTTTGTTTTGCTTTGTTTGTTTGTTTGTTTGTTTTTTAAAGATCCAGGGAATGTTCTGTATTAAATATAGGGCTTGACAAAGAACATGAATCCTCAATAATTTTTTAAAGGAGAGGATATGAGAGTTTTGACCAGCTGCCCTTAAAGTTCATATTCGGTTAAATGGAACCTCAAACAAATATCAGAAAGACACCTGAATCTCAGGTTTAAACCAGGTTAATGTTCACATTAAATCAGACTCTTACTCTTTTGCATATATATATATATATATATATATATGTATATATATATGCATATGCATATTTGCATATGTATATATATGTATATATATATGTGTGTATATATATATATGTATATATATGAATATATATATACATATATATATATATGCAACAAAGATTACTCCTGCTCCCTTCAGAAAGCTTTTATAAAGATACTATGCATAGTCTCAGAATGTATGCATTTGGTAGCTTCAACCTAGAGAACATAGGTGACTCAATATAATTTATGACCTGATCAGAAGGACCCCTGGAGGAGAAAGCTGGCTACAATTTTCCCCTCAAGCATCTAAGCACAATCCTAAACTATTCACTAGGGGTAATCATAAAGGATTCCTTTGGTGTCAGACACATTAGAACCCAAGGGAAAGCAACTGTCCTGCTCCTCTTCCCAGAACCCGTCCAGTCTCCAGGGAAAAAGCCTCAAACTGCAGGGGAGTTAGAGGTGTGTCCCGAGCCTTTCCCTGGCCAGAGTTCAGGAGGCTACATGCAGCAGCTACTTCACAGCTGCTGTGTGTTAACCTGTCTGTGGTAAGACTGATCAGACTTTCAGCAGGACAGGGGTCCATGTGCCAGTTTCTAGACATTCACTGGCACATTTTCCTGTGCTTTCTATTTCAAAAGTCACATCATTTAGCTTATATTTTTAAAATAAGACCTAATCACAGGAAATGGCCAAAGGGCCATCGTGCTAACCTTGAGACAGAGGCACTTACACTGAGATGGTCTGTCGTCAAAGTCAGAAGGTCTTCATTGGATGGATGAAGTTTTTCAAACAGAATAGTGTCTGCTCCTTTGGAATAAAGCTTTATCTGTCCTTCTGGGTTTCTAACTGAAAAGAAAAATTTTGCATAGTAGATAATCAATGAAATCCGTCAAAACTAGACTTTCCTAGGACTCCAGCCAGGAAATTTGGAAATGGGCATAACGTTTTAGCTAGTAGTAAAATACTCAGTGTCTTTAATTAGAAGGTCACTATCTAAGTCAATTGGCTTTATTCCTGTTCTATTAACTTAGAAATATTCCATCTACTGGAATCCTTTGATTTCCCAAACTCAGAAACAAGTGTTTTTATTCTGATGTATACAACCTTAATATTTTTCTTACCTACTGTTTTGAAGAGTTGATAAGTTCAAATTAAGCCTTCTGGATTGAACAGAATTGAGAGCTTTGCTTGCCTGTCTCCTGTTGCAAAAACTCAAGACCTACCATAGGAATCAGCTTTTAGTATTATACCAAATGATATCCACATGGAATTCTAGTCATTCAAAGCCATGGTTTATGCATTAGTTCTCAGTCTTTGCTGATGTTTTTCTTTATCCTCTTTACTCCTTGGGAATGCCCTTTCTTTCATTCTTGGTGGTTGATTTTGGGGTCACAATCCAGGCTGTAAGCATGCCTCACAGGGAGCTTTCAAAATTATTTTCTACCTTCTTTTAACTGGAAGTCTGTATTAGTTATGGCTATATTTTTAATCTGTCCCCCCCCTCCAGGTTTGAGAATGACAGCCCTGATGAGGATCCCTTCATCTCCAGTCCTTAAGCCTTCCCCTGGCTGTGCCTCATGTTGCTTCAGAAAAATCTTTTTTGAAACCACAGAATACTTGGCCTACATTTGTAGGCATGGTTTTACAGCTTGGCACATACTATATACTTAATTACTTGTTGAATGAATGACATGACATGACAATATATTTCTTCCAAGTAACCACCTACAGTTTGAAACAACTTTCTGGATCACAGTTCCACGGTCTGAACACTGACCATCACAAGTTTCATCAAGTCAAAGACTACTGCTTGCTTTCCATTCGATTACACCTTTTCTCTAAAAACAGAATGCCTCAAAACAGATGAACATAAATATTGACTATTAATAGAATATAAAATTTAGAACTTGATTTAAAGAAATATAAATAACAAAGTACAGTGAATCATTTTCCCTTCTAACCTTTTACTACTCTTAGCTAAGACTTAATCTAGTCTAGTTTCCTCCTGGGTTTGAATATGTATAATGCACCTTGGGAACTCTTTTGTGTTGACTTATGGAGGACTCGTCTTCTCTCCTAAGACTGTCGGTCAGCTCTCCTAGATGCCAGAACTCATGCAGTTTTTCTTGTGCCCTGGCTCTAATTGCCCCCATTGTGGAAAGAGTTGGAGGGTGGTGGAAAGCATATATAATTTACCTAATTGTTCAAGTGGGGGAAAAACATTTAATTCTACGGAAGCCTTTCTTGCTTTTCTTCTACAGCAATCCAATTTAATAATTTCTCCCACATTTTCTCCCTTCCATCACCAGAGCTATAAAGACAAATTATGTGCCTTCTACTTTTACCAGTATGACTTCCCTATGACTGTTTTTTATAGTCTAGGCTAGGACATCAGTTCTCAAGCTTTTTGGTCTCAGAACCCCTATGCACTCTTAAAACTTTGTGAGAACTCTAGGCCTTTTTAAGCGGGTTAGATCTAATAATATTTACCATATTAGAAATTAAAGTTGAGAAATTTTATTATGGCAATGGTCTTAGAACACTAATTATATTACTATAATAATAATGTGACTATTATAATAATTATGATAATAAGCATATGACATATTAACATAGGTAACATTTCTATGAAACATAATTATATTTTCCATAACAAAAAAAATTAGTTTTGGGAATGGCATTGTTTTACATGATTACAGGTCTGATTTAAAAAATGGTTAGATTCCCATATCAGCTTCTGTAGTTCAATCTGTTGTGTGATATCACACATCATGCGGCTTTTGTAAAACTCCACAGTATACTCATGAGAAAAAGAATAAAAAAGACAAATACCATTAGTAGTATTATGAAAATGTTTTTGTCCTTGTGCATCCTCTGAAAACCTCCCAAAGTTTCTTAGGGTTCCCCAGACCACACATGGAGAACCACTGGTCTAGGAAATCACAAACCAATTATGATTTGTTCAAATCTCTTACCATCTCTTTGTCTCAGTTTCTACATGGGAAAAGGAGACATTTAAACAATCTAACTCCTAAGGTCCTTTCCAAGCTATATTCTTCTCATTCAGTAAACAGTTTACATTTCCTTCATGTTTCTTAATCAAGCATTAACCCCTTAGAATTTGTGTGAATCCAATTTCATGGAATCCTGCTTAATTTTACTCACTAAACCTTTCCTTTTGCAGATCAACAAGTTTTTTTCTCTTCATTCAAGCCTCCTAGTCATCTCTGCTAGGAAATCCCAAGGCTAATCATATCTCACTCATTTCAGAAGTTAGCCTTTTTAAAATCTATTTAAAGAACACAACAGTTTTAAATGGTCGAGATAACATGTGGGCAGAGTCTGGACAAAAGTCATAGATTTTTAGTTGTAGATTCTTCTCCTCTTACCGGTCCTCTATACATTGTTGTGCCTCAAAGACTTTCCCAGGATCTAATTCCCTCCCACTCTTCATGCAGTCACATTCATTTCTAAGGCTTCAGGGTACATTGACAGGATGATTGATTTTAAATGTGTATATCCTGCCCAAATCCATCTCCAGCACTCCCTTTGAATATGTATATACAACCACCAGCTAGATACCTCCTTTTAGATATGCTCAGCCACACTAAATTCAAACTGCACACATTATCTTCCTCCAACAACTAGGTATCTCTCCTATGTCTCTGCCCCAATAACCAGTTTCACCCTTCACTAAGTCTCCCAAACCAGATATCCAGCCATCATTCAAACTCCTTCTCTTCTACCACCCATACATCCAATTGCAGCCATGGATTTCTCTTCATCACCTTATCTCTTGCTTATATTATCACATTAATCTAAATGTTCCACTTATTGCAATCCCACTTTTCTTCAAACTCCTCTGTAATCTATCTGGAATTATCTTCACACAACTGCATACAACCCTGCAATAGCTTCCCTCTGCCTTTGGATCAAGTATGGACTCTTAAACATGGCATAAACAGGAATCATCAAGACCTTTCCTTCTTCAGCCTATTTCATACCCTGCTTCACCATCTTCTCCTGGGTGCAATCACACAGAACACATTTCAGTTTCACATTCTCCCTTAGCTTCAAGTCCCTGGGACATGGTAGGCACTTACTAAATATTTGCTTAATTGAGTTGAATTATAGTTATGCAAAATTCATTGAAAGCAGCTATGCCTTTGTGACATAAAAGAAAAAGAAGAAAGTCACAAATGGTTTCCAGGTTTATGCTATAAGAGTAAATGTAATAGCAACTCTGTGAATGATGATGAATAATTCTACTTTGCCATATCTCAGTTGGATGCCTATTCATATATACATATAGAAAAATGCCTGTCATACGGCAGTGTGATTTATACTTTGATCATCTCTAAAAAGTTTACAGTTGAACAGGTCTTACTAAAGATCTTGCAAGGGCTTTTCAAGGAGCTAGACTAATTTATTTTTCTTTAATGTTTACGTGCCACTTGCCTCTATTAATATCTTTGAATTTTATCTCTGTGTTTTTATTAGAATTGGTCCTTCCAAAATTGTACAATAAGATTTATATGTTTATCCGTAGATTCTATATCCTCTGACAAAATTCTATATAGAAATCTATTTTTATTTAAGTAACTGAATTAAACCAGGGCTCTTGTCCCAGAATGAAAGTAGTACTAGTATTGAAACTATACATTCATGATTCAATGAATGATAGCACCCCTCCTCCAAAAAAAGGAAGGAGGAGAAAGAGGAAACAGAAGAAGAGGAAGAGGAAGCAGAGGAGGAAGAGGAAGAAAGGGGAAGAGGGGGAAGAGGGGGAAAAGGAGGAGAAGGAGAAAGAGAAGGAGGAGGAGAAGGAGAAGAGAAAGCAGCAGCAGCAGCAAATATCTGAGTCTTCACATCAGGGTGTTGTCCCTACAGACCAAGCCATGTGACAATCATGAGACTAGCACTGTTTTATTCTTTGCCTTGTTATCAGAGACTTTTCCACCCTAGTGGAGCCCCTCTTTCAAATTCCTTCTGATTAAAAACCAAACAGAACCTAAATAAAGCGCATAAGCCTCCATGCATTTGGTGGTGGAACATTACCTTGCTTCATATGGGATCCATTAAGTCAAACATCTGAAGTTTGTGGTTAGGCTGTGATTTCTCCACAGCCCATAGTGGTGACTGATGCTGGGGAAAAGCCAAAAATTTCCCTGTGTAGCAATTTTACATTTTTGTCAACACCCTCATAGCAAAGAGAAGCCAGTTCTAGGCCAACCCAACATTAGTAACACCTCCCCTGAAGCTGTAAATAGAAGAGAGCTTCTGCTGATACATGGTTAGGCCAACGCCTAGAGCAGCGTATGTGCTCATCAGCAGCACTGACGATGACTGCCTACAGCCTGTTGTCAAAAAAATAAACATAAACATCCCCAGATGATGTTTGGTTTTTACCTGCTGAGAGCATTCTACCACAGCTACTTTCCAGTAGTTAGAGGCCAAAAACCCAACCATGTACACACACGTTTTCCACAGTAGAAATTGATTTAATATGACCAGAATATTCATAAGTTACCAAGTATTGGCTTAAATTTTACTTAACAAACATTTATAGAAAACCTACTATGTGCCAAGCTCTATGCTGGGCCTTGGGCTGGGTAAGATGGCTAAAACACAGCACTGCCCTCTAGCACATACTCTAACAACTGGGAAGGTCATGAGTATCATGGCACTGGTATCACACTGGTGTTATGAACAAGGTGCTCTGAAGAACAGAGGAGAATGCAGTTATTTGGAGAGTAGAAGAATTAAAACAACAGGTGGCATTTAAATTGGACATTTCCAGGTGAGTAGAAGTTTCCAAGAAAAGAATTAGGGAAAAAGAGTCTTAGGGGAAACAGCACACACAAAGGGTGAAAGCGTACAACGCATGCCTGGAATGCAAGATCTAGTAAGGCTGGGGAAGTTTGATGAAGTAGAAGATAAATAGACTGAAATCAGATTGCAAATAATGTTGAATGCCATGCAAGAATGTTACCCTCTAAATTCTAGAAAGCTACCAAGGTTTTTTATGTAGGTGATGGCAAAATCAGGTCAATATTTTGGAAAGAATATCTTGGTATCAGCACAGAGCATTATTTTAAGGGGAATTAGTTTTAAAGATATTGCAATAATACAGGCAAGTAGTGGTAAAAGCCTGGGAAACATCTCTAGAAAACACAATGAGTAGTAATTGAGGATCTATTAGTTCTGTGTGTCTGAGTTTTGTTATCTTTAAAATGGGCATTAAAATAATAGTACCTACCTTACAGGGTTGCTGAAATAATTAAATCAGTTAATTCATGTAGACAATCTACAATAGTGCTGGATTCAATAACCACTTGCTACCCATTAGTTATACTTACTAGTGCACTGTTGAGGCTAAGTTGAAAATGAAAGTTTATCAAGTTACAAAAATACCACAATTCTCAGTATGTAACTAGGAATGAAATAATGCTTAAGAAGCATCAATGTAATGAGTACTATCAAAAGATCAAACATAATCTCAGCTACCAGTCATACCTATGACAGACATCCTTTTTCTGATATTGTTGAAGTCCAAGAAGGCAAGAAGTTGGTAAGTAACCAGTGTTCCCAATTCTTCTATTGTTATTGTCTCTGAGGTTCGAGACTTAAAAATGAACCCCAAATTTCTTGCAGCAGTCACTAAAGCCCCTTCATCAGGTGACTGAACTTGGTAAATCAGCTGCCCTAAAAGGAAAAGAAACTATCATATTAAACTATAGCCAAAATAGATTGTATTAAACAAAAAAAGTAAAAGAAACAAATGTATTGATATTGAGAATAATCGCTAATATTCACAGAATGCCAGTGCTAACTGTAACTCATCCTATAACACCCAACTCAAGTGTTAGCTCCAGAAGTCAGAACTTTTCTACATGCCAACCAGCCAGACCAAGTGCCTATACTGTGAGATACTACAGGACACCACACATACCATCAGAGCCCCTGCCATCTTATACAAAAATATCCATCTATGTGTCTGACCTTCCACGATGCTGAAAGTTCCTCAGGTCAGAGGCCATGGTTTTGTATTTTCAGTGACTAGACATGTGTAGTGAAAGTTTCACAAACTAAAACACTTAATATGTATTAATGCTCATAATCCTCATGATAAGCCTTTGAGGTAGGGATTATTAAAAAATTATTATTTCCATTTTATACCAATGACCTATGACTGAAGAGTTTATATGATTTTTGCAAGATCACACAGCCAAAGAGTGATGAAGCAGGTATTCCAAGTTCCACTTCAGTCTGCTACTAATGACCAGTTTATTATAATGCATACAAGAAACCGCTTGAAATGTAAGAAATCAAACCACTGTGCTCATTCTTGGCGCCTGATGTGTATGTATCAGGCTGGGAGGAAGAGGGGAAAAGAGAGAAAAAGAATGAAATGAGCAAAAAAAAAAAAAAAAAAAAAATCAAACCAAACCAAAACCAAAACAATAAACTATAAAAATAGAGCATATACAAAGACATTCTATATAAAATTATATTGTCTTTGTTTATAAAAATACATTTGAAAAAATAGGCAAAGCTATATCCCTATCTACTGACTTCAGGCGATGTACAAGATCAATTCTTAAGAAAATGAGTTGCATATTTATATACTATGATTCCTTTTCATGTAAAACAAATAACTACCCATCTACTGCATATATTAATTTATATATATTAATATAATTTATCAATAAATTAATTTATATTTATATTATATTTATATTTTATATTAAAATATATTTATAAATAAATATTAATGTTAATTTATATATATTAATATATATATATATATATAAGGGTGAAATGATGACACCAAATGTTACCAATTGGTTACTCCTGTAGGGGTGAGATTAGAATACTTCATGGACGAAATTATTACCTCTGCCTTTATAAATTTTGTAGTGTGGTTTCACTTGATACAGTAGGCATAAATTAATTTTGAAATTCAAAAGGGAAAAAATTATAGCAGTTACTTTATCTACCTATGAAATTATTTAACTTTCACTTCTTCAACATAGTAAACTGGGTGGCAGGACAAACTTCCCTGCTACAAACAACTACAGATTCTGTATAAAATATTTTAATAATTTTAAATACATCCATAAAAGATGTACTGGCAAGAAAATAAGAACTATTTAGGCCAAAGATGAAGAGAAAAAATACAGACAGAATAAAGGTATTACTGTAGCCAGCTTTTGCCTTGAAGACTTTTTCTGATCATTGATCATTGGTTTCTAGCCTCTGAGAGCTTGAGTTAGAGAAGACGTAGCCCAGGTAAGAAGTTTAGTGGGAGACCACCTCTTAAAACTGGGCCTCCAAGGGTGCCTGAATGGGTCAGTCAGTTAAGCATCTGACTCTTGGTTTTGGCTCTGGTCATGACCTTGTGGTTTTGTGAGTTTGAGCCCTGCCTCAGGCTCTGCATTGGCAGCATGGAGCCTGCTTAGGATTCTCTCTCTCTCCCTCTCTCTCTCTCTGCCGCCCCCCTTCCCCCCACCCCCCCCCCCCCCCCCCCCACCACTCGCACTGTCTGTCTCTTTCAAAATAGATAAATAAACTTGAAAAAAATGCCTGGGCCTTCAAAAGACTACTCTCCTGGTATAGAGGAGAACTGGAAATCAGTGCCTCCTTCAAGAGTGCCTGTAAGGAAAAATTATCTACCCATAAGTGGAAAGAAAAATTTTTTCTGCTGAAACTTTAAGAACCAAAGACTGACTTTCACACATATTTGCATCCTAAATTCATAATACTTGAGTGACTTGAAAAAAATCAAACTGGAAATTTAGTTTAATATGTTCCTACATTAGAACACTACAAGTCCTTTATGGAGGAACTAGCCTTCATCTCAGGACCCAAAGAATTTCTACAAATAAAGTTCCAAGTAAAATGATCATCTCACAGTGAAAAATCATTAAAATCACAATAAATAAGACACAATCAGAACTAACAGAAATAATCTAAGATCTTCAAAAACTTCAGATATTGGAGGTATTAGAAATAGCACACTCAAATACTTGATAGATTTCAAAAAATTTTTTAAAAGGCATAAAATTAGGCAGATTTGAAAAAGAATCAAAGACCTTGTAGAAATTAAAAATTAAAAACTGCATATTAGATATTGCTAGAGAAAGAAGCAGTGTACTGTGAAAAAAAAATGGAGGAACTATGAGAATATATCCCCAACAGATAGGGAAAGAGAAGAAATGAGAGACGTGTTAAAACACATAGAGAAGAGAATGAAAATATCTGACACTGAAGATCTAACATGAGAGGGAAAATGAGTCAGAGGCAAAGCTGGAAGAAATACATGGTCAAGCAAATACCATGTCATGGTAAAAAATGACATTCTACAGATTCAAGAATCTCAATGAATTCCAAGTAATATATTTTTCAATCCACACCTATAGTGATAACATGGAAGAAGAAATCTTAAAAGTAGCCAGGGAGATAAGACTGATGACCTTCACTCCACAATTGGACTAGGAACTGACTATACAGTAACGGAAATAGCAGCAAGACACAGTGGAATACCTTCAAGGTGCTAAAAGAAAATTGTCACCTTAAATTTCTGCACATAGCAAAATGTTCAAGAATAAGAACAGATGAAGTTGTTTTTCCAAAGTTTTTGAGAGTTTATTAGCAGGAGGTTCTCTCCTAAAAGAAATTCTCAAGAATACACTTTATGTCAACAGAAGATCAGAGTTGGCACAGGCATTAAAGAGCATAGAAATGAGTAAGTATGTAGGATAGATCTAAGCAAACACTGACTATAAAAACAATAAAAGTAACCTCTTGGGGGATTAAGAAAGAAAATACATGACAAGAATACTGTATAAGTCAGGACAGGGTTGATTAGTATTGAAGGGTTCTAAAGTCTTTGTTTGGTTTAAAAGAAGGCTTAGGCTTTGATAAGTTCATTATGCTAAAATTTCTAGGCTAACCACTAAAATACAAATAAGGATTCCAAAACAGAAGTAAAAATGGACTAAATCCATAAGAGGGAAAAAAAAAAGAGAGAGAGACTAAGACAAAAGTTGGGGCAAATGTAAAGTACAAAATAAGATGGTAGAAATAAACTAAATGTATCAATAATTATATATTAAATACTTAAAATCTACATATATCAATACTCAAGAAAGATAATGGACTAAATGTTCTGCTTAACCTTTAGTTCTATCAAACTATTCTTTTTAAATGTCAAAAATTATCTCATTCATGAAAGATGTGCCTAAAACACAAAGAAAAAGATAGATTGGCAGGAAACAGTGGAAAAAAGATAAATAATGCAAATACTAACAAAAGCAAAATACCTATAACTATATTCATATAAGCCAAAATAAACTTTAAGGCAAATATGTGAAAATTGTGTAACTGAGTAGTCAAAATAATCCAAAGAGAGGTAGAAAATTGAATACAATTAACAAACATTATCTAATGGATATATTTAGAACTCAGTGCCTAATAACTACAGAATACACATTCATTTCAAGCACACATGAAACATTTACTGAAACTGAACATATACCAGACCATAAAGCAAACCTCAATAAATTTTAAAGGATTGATATAATGAGGCAGTAAGAAAAAAAATTCTAAAACTTTTATCTTTTGAATTGCCATACACTAAAATAGAAGAAAAATCCTCTTAAAACACTTGTATTTTCCACTTTTCCTGCCTCTGCATTTTCATCCTGGAGAAGGGAATGAGAATGTCAACTTCTCCATGAAACAGTACACCTTTGAAATAAAAACAATAGCTTCAACTATAAATTATACAATTATAAACTTTAAGTTTGTTAGATTTGGTTCTATTCTTTTCCATAATTAATGTTTATATAAAAAAAGTTTGTTTTCCAAGGTACTTTAACATACATGGATTTAAGCTATCTATACTGTAAATAAATCTTTAAAAGGAGAGCAAAATAATCCCCCCTTACTCAGTGACATAAGCCTGCACTTAGAATTTGATATCTTAAAGCAAGAGATAGAAGTAATTTAAAGATATATACATCTTCCTCTCTTTACTTCAAAATACCTTTATATAGCAGGATGTTAGCCAATATCCACAAGAATGGGTAAAATTTAAGAAAGACCACACTAAATGTTGGTTCGAATGTAAAGGTACTACAGCTCTCATACACTGATGGTGGGAATGTAAAATAATGCAACCATTTGAAAAAAATGGTTGGGCAGTTCTTATAAAGTTAAACATATACTTATACTATGATCTGGCAATTTTCATACCTAAGTGTTTACCAAATACAAATTAGTTAAATGTTTTTTTTAAGACATAAAAATGTTTATGGCAGCTTTATTCATAATAGCCCAAAGCTGGAAACAACCCAAATGTCCATGAACAGAGGACTAGAAAAGAAAATTATGGTACACTCACATAATGTAATATTACTCAGCAATGAAAGAATGAACTATTGGGGCGCTTGGATGGCTTAGTCAGTTAAGTGTCTGACTTCAACTGAGGTCATGATCTCACAGTTTGTGAGTGTGAGCCCCACAACAGACTCTGCTGTCAGCAAGGAACCTGCTTTGGATCCTTTGTCTCCCTCTCTCTGTACCTCCCCCACTCCCACACTCACTCTGTCTCTCTGTCTCTCTCTCAAAAATAAATAAATAAACTTAAAAAAAAAAAGAATGAACTATTTACTGATACATCAACATGGATGAATAACAAAATCATTACATGGCATGAAAGAAGTCAGACACAAAAGAATACAAATTGTATGATTCCATTTTTATGAAGTACAAAAACAGGCAAAATTCATCTTTGATGATAGGAATCACAGCAGTGGTTGGCTGAGCAAGGGGGTTGGGAATATGGACTGGAAAGGGATATGAGTAATCTTTCTAGAGTAATAGAAAATATTTTTACCCTGTTGGGGTGATATGAGTAATCTCTCTAGAGTGGTAGAAAAGATTTATACCCTGTTGGGGGTGGAGGTTACATGGGTACATATAATTGTCAAAACTCATCAGACAAAACACTTAAGATCCGTGTGTTTTACTGCATTTAATTATATCACATTGTGAAAAAAATGTAAATCATACTAGAAAATAAGAATGAATACTGTTAGTAAACTAGAAATTTGAGGAATGTCTGCAAGATAAAAAGTAGATTTGATCAATGAAGAAGAGAAAAATGCAGCACAAAGCATTTGCAAAAGGAAATGAATACAGAATAAGAGAAATCCCCAAAAGAGTTTCCAAAGTCAGAGTTAACAAATGAAAAGAGAAGTGCTCTTAGGGGCATCATTAGTAAAGTTAGTTGAGGAAGTGTACTCAGCACTCCAGCCCATCTGAGCTCCTCCATCTCCCAACTTACTGTAAACAGGCTTCAGTGACCATTGCCTCCAGAATAAAACCTTCCCATGTTACGCTACACAAAGTGCATAATCCGCTTCTGGAAACCTCAAAGATTTGAGTTCTGCAACTGGAGACCAAAACTAAGAAGAGCCCGAATCACTCCAGAAGTCCACAAGGATAAGAGAAAGAAAATGAAAGAAAAGAACCCGGATGAGTGATGTTTTCTTCCAGGCCAGACCTTAAGTACAACTCTCTCTCAAGTGAGCATATTGGCAGATTCCTAGCACTAGATCTGAAAAAGTAAGACAGTTAACCCCAGATGCCATATGAATTCCTGGAAGGAGGAACTCCACACCCAGAAGGCCAGCCATACATTCTACCTCTTCCACACGGTATTGGGAGACTGGCCACAGTAATCAGAACCTACATTCACCAACAGGCAACCAAAAGTTATCAAATGTTTGAGAACATTAAAGGTAGACACAGAATTCAAAAAATAACATTCTATAATATGAAACCTCATAAAGGAAACAAAAGAAAATTTCAAATCAAGAGTAATTAAGATCTTTAAAGAGATCTAAAAAAGTATGTAACATTAAAATAAAA